TCATCCAGCTCTGCACCTCGTTGTAACAAAAATGAGGAATTTACTTTACCTCAATAAGGAAGTGATGGAGAAAGGTACAGAAAGTTATACTGCTGGCACTGAATAAAGAGGCATGGGGGTGCTCATCTAGATCATCAACATGGACCATTTGAGCTGAATGGCCAGTTACTATGCTGTAAATAGTCTGTATGACTGAAAAGCAGAGGCACACTCTCAGTTCTCCAGCCAAAATCATCCCATAACTGCTAATGAAAAGGTGAAAAGATGGTGATTTGTTTAATTTGCTCTTTGTTAAACTGGCAAAAACTGGTTGCCAAGTTTGGTTGTATAACAGTGACTCAACTTCCTTGAGTGTAATTCCTTGGCTGTTAAGTATTTTCGGACTTGCTGAGGATGTAAAAAGTATTCTTCATTCGTAACTTTTTTAAAAGTAAGAGAGGAATAATAGCAGGATCATCCTGACACTTGCCCATTCAGGGCCATCAAGCATAGGAAGCAAACTGAAACACATCTTCCATACCGAAAGCATGAGAGTCTTGAGGTATTAACAACTAATGGAGGCTCGAAGGTACATGGAATTTTTGGGCTAAACTGCAGTATGCTTTAGCTTGGGCCTCACATGCTCTACGTAACTGGGACTCTGCGCTTGTCAGTTGGTGAGACAGCAACACTGGACCCGTTACAGATTCAAACCATCTGCTGTTGCCTTTGTTGTGCTTTAGAATTCACCTCCGGTGAAACACAACTAGTAACTCTCTGTTGCCATGAGTTGGGGAATGGACCAGAAAGTTCTGAAGGAGTTTTGAGGCGATGTGGAACCTTGTCAGGTTGATGCTGCCGCCCCTTATCATGTGATGTTTCTGTGCCCCTCTTATTCTTTTCGGAGGTGTAGGGAAGCCCAATTTGGGAAAAGCCAGGCTCCTGGCCACGACTGCACAGAGTTGGGCTACTGATCAGAGGAGTCTAATTTGAAGAATGGGTCTAAGATGGCAGAGGTTGTTCACATAAGCGTCAGGTTTTGTTCTTGCCCTGAGCTGCAGGCATTAAGATGTTGGAATGGCTGAAAGCAGCAAATACCCCCAGAGCATTTTATTGTCTCAGTGTCATTGTTCAAAAATAAACTCAACAGCTGAGCTTTCCCCTACTTACAGAAGCATCTTTTGATGCAAGATGACCCTGACCATCACCAAGGAAAAGTGCTGCCTACTCACAGGCCAATCAAGCAGTTAAGTGTCACCTAATAGACATCCCAGTCAATCTCTTCCTGTGAGAGCAATGTCCCATCCTGCCTGAATCTGCCCACCAATCAAAGGCCCAGACTGCATAGCAGCACTGAAGACCAGGGGTAGCAGGGAAAACAAGTGACTTCCTGGGGAGTGTGGGGTTGCTGGCTGGGGACAGTGAGGAGAACAAAGTCTGGGTCTGTTGGACGCAAGGATCAGTGGTGGATAGTTTTCATTAACCGCCCCTCCAGACCCCTTCCCACACCTGTCAGCAGAAGCATAGTGTATATACACCTTAAACTCAAAAACTGACCAAGCATTTCTCTTGAGATGGTCATTATTATGAAAATATGTTGTATGCAAACAACACAACTGTTCACTTGACAAAAGGGGACATTTTAAAATGGGGTTTGGCTAAGGGTGAAAGAGACAGGGATTCGTTGTGAGGTGACTGACCATATAAAACTGTTTTAAAATGTTTATGATCCCCTTCAATCACTTACAATTGTGCATTGAGAACAACTTTACATTTTCCATTTGAAAATATTCACCTTCTGATTACAGAATACAGCATAATGGGCCAAGAGACTTCTTCTGTGCTGTGTTGTTTTATGATTCTCTGGTGACAGATTACAGCGGGATCTGGTTGTAAGTTGTTGATGAATTCAATCAGAGCACTGATTCTTCAACCGTATGTATACGTGCAAGAAATGATCATAGCAGCTGACTTAAAACTGACTGGAAAAAACATGGATCACTTTAAGTTTCAGTTCCCTTCCATCTTGTTTTGGTCTCTGAATACATTGATCACCTCTGTTGATTTCAGAATGGATGCAGTCAGGTGTAGGCATGCAGGTGGATGTTAAGACTTTTGTGAGAATTACCTGAATGTAGAAAGTTCGAGATGTTGTGACTATTTCAAACAGATTGTCCCTCATCAGTGCTTGACTGTGTTGGGGTGGGTGGAGAAAAGAAAGGACAAAATAAGTTATGGTCAAAGGTAAGATAATGCATTATATTTTAGCCAAAGCAGGGCCAGATGTCACAACAGCGACAAAATGTGGATATGTTATATCTAGATACATATAAATCAATTTTCAAACTCCATCATTTGATTTTAACATCTAAGACTTTCATGGAATAAAATGATTTTCCAAAGCTTCAAATGGTCATAGCAATTACCTGACCACAGGTTGGCAAGACATGAAACCAATGTTCCATGAGATATATAAAGACAGCCTGAACTTAAATTAATATTTATCAAAAACATATTGTGACCAATCAACTCAGGCTTGAAGAAACTCTCATCTTTTATTTTGATTTGCACTTGAATGATGAGTTTCACACAGTAGAGATCAAAGATATTAACGACAAGTATCAATATTGAAAACAACAACTCAGACATAGGATTACACAAACCAATTTAGATCATTGGCAGATCATTGAGATAGATTTTTGACTGCAATTGGAAATAACTGGAAGAAAATGCTGCCTTGGCCTTTCAAGAAGGAAAAATGCCTGGTGACATTTGTATGAGAAAGAGATAATAGCTTCAATGTGAGAACATTTTTAAACATGTGTTACGTTTAACCAAGGAAGTTTCAAAGTGGGAACCTGATTCACTCCTCATCATCTGCCTGTAACAGAGTAAACACTTGAACCCTGGAATGAAGGTGCCACAGTTTGGATAGAATTCACTTATAGAACTTCTGAAGCAAATAACTTCATTTACCTGCAACTACAGTTCTGAGCTTTTTGTATGTCCTTAAGTGGTATTGCTCGAAGTGGTTCTTTTTCCTGAAAAAGCATAATTGAAATCACACAATCAGTTCTGAAAAATAGGTTTCTAAATCCTCTAAGTGTTAAAATAATGCATAGCATTTTTCAGAATAAGGTAACATAGTAGTTCTGTCGCTGAACTTGTAATCCAGAGGTCTGGGATTAATACTCCATAAACATGAATTCACTCCCAGCAAAGCAGCTAGGCAACTTAAATTCACTTCAGTATATAAATGTGGAATTAGAAGTTTGAATCAATAATGCTGACCATGTAACAGTCAGATCATAATAAAAGTCATCTGGTTCACTGATGTCTTTTATGAAATGAAATCTCCCGAACTTCCATGGTCACATAATCATAGAGTTATATAGCATGAAAACAGACCCTTCAGTCCAACCAGCCCATTGCCAATCATAATCCCAAACTAGACTAGTCCCACCTGCCTGTGCTTGGCCGATTTCCCTCCAAACATTTCTTATTCATGTACTTATCCAAGTGTCTTTTAAATGTTGTAACTGTACTCTCATCCACCGTTTCCTCTCGAAGTTCATTCCACACACGAACCACTCTCTTATGTAAAAAAAGTTACCCCTCAAGTCCTTTTTAAATCTTTCTCCTCTCACCTTAGAAATATGATCTGGAGGTGCCGGTATTGGACTGGGGTGGACATGGTCAGAAGTCACATGATACCAGGTTATAGTCCAATAGGTTTATTTGAAATCATCAGCTTTCAGAGCATTGCTCCTTTGTCAGGTGGACTCTGAAAGCTTGTGATTTCAAATAAACCCGTTGGACTATAATTTGGTGTTGTATGACTACTGACCTTAAAAATATGCCCCCTGGTTTTGAAAGACCCCATGTTAGGGAAAAGACACCTGCCATTCATTTTATGTATAGCCCTCATGATTTTATAAACCTCTATTAGGTCAATCTTCAATCTTTTACGCTCCAATGAAAAAAGTCTCAGCCTATCCAACCTCTCCTTTTAGCTCAAACCCTTAGTTCCTGGGAACATTCTGGTAAATCTTTTCTGTATCATCTCCAGCTTAATAGTATCCTTCCTATAACAGGGCAAGCAGAACTGGATACAGAACTCCAGAAGGGGCCTCAACAACATGCTGAACAACCTTAACATGATGTCCCAACTCAAATACTCAAAGATTTGAGCAATGAAAGCAAGCGTGCTAAGTGCCTTCTAACCACCCCATCTACATATGGTGCAAACTTCAAGGAATTATGTACCTGAACCGCCAGGACTCTTTGTTCTAAGACACTACCCAAGGCCTGATTTGTAACTGTGTAAGTCCCGTCCTTGTCTGTTTTACCAAAATGCAATGCCAGACCCACTCTTAACAACAACATGATCTTCAATACAGCACCTCACTGCCACCTTCCCAGGAGCTATGAGGGACAGGCAATAAATGCTATGAGTGAATTAAAAGTCAGTGCATCCAAAGACTCAAGTCCTGATCTCCTTTGACTTAACAGAGCCTCAGCAAAAAGAAAATATAGCCAGCATTCGCACTTCTATCTCCAGTGACCTTACCAGAAAGTCACCTGCTTGCCAGTTGAACTCAGCTTCAAAGTCATTCACTTAAAACTGACAATGGACATTTGAGTGAGGTACTAAGGGACTGTTTGCAACCATGGAATCATGCCATTTTCAAATGCACCACCAAGGGGGGAAAAGGAGTTAAAGGCATGGGCAAAACCAAATTGACTTATGTTTTAATAAGCATTCATCAAAAACAAATACTGAGCCTTCATGAATGGAAATCTGTAAGGAGCTGTTCCACACGTTCTATTTTAGAACACATGGTGTGAAATTATTTATATTTAGAAAAACATCAGGCACTGTATGAGTGCGATGGGAAATCTTCCTGGAATTAGTTTCATCATAAGATGCATAAGCCAAAGCCATCCTCTTTTTTGCAGCATCCTATTGTCACTTCCATTCTGAAGCATGGCAGACCAGGCATACAATCGAAAGATAATAATACATTTCCTGTACAAGTTATAAGTGATTTGCAGATTGATTGTCCTTCAAAAATGAAACAAAACACTGCAAGGAGTTCAAACTGAGGTTTCATTGTGCTGTGAGGAGGTTTTAAACTGATTTGGCAGGGGGCACGGGGCACAGGGTAGCTGTAAAATCAGGAGCAAGGTCCAACCAGATATAGACTGAATGCTAGGTCAGCGCAGTAGGTGGAGAAGATGTGGACAGGATAAGACACATGGGAGGTCTAGAAAGCCGAACTGTATCTATTTTAATTCAAGGTACTTGATGGCAAGGTGGGTGCAGTGATGAGCAAATACGATATTGTTGCAATCACTGAGAGATGATTAATGGAAGGGCAGAACTGGCAGCTCAACATTCTAGGGTACAAAGGTTTCAGGCACGATAGGGGTATAAATAAGAGAGGTAGGGGCATTGAGAAAGAAAACCATCATTGTAATAATGGAGGAGGATATCCCTGAAGGATCTTCAAATGAAGCCATCTGGGTAGAGCTTAAAAAGAAGAAAGGGCGATTACCTTGCTGAGATTATACTACAGGCCTCCCAACAGTCAGAGGGAGATAGAGGAGCAGATATGTAGGTAAATCAGAAAGGTGAGAGAGAAACAGGGTCCTCGTTTTAGCCGACTTCAACTTTACTAACACAACCTGGGATTGCCTTACTGTGAAAGGATTGGATGGGGTGGAATTTTTGAGTGCATCCAGGAGACCTTTTTGTGCCAGTACATAGATAGTCCGACCAGAAAGGGAACAGGACTCGATCTAATCCTAAGGAATGAAACAGGTCAGGTCGGCAAGTTTTTTGGGAATAGTGACTATAACTCTGCATTTTCAAAGTCATTTTGGGAAGGGATAAGGATAGTGCAGAAGTTAAGTGTCTAAACTGGGGGAAGGCTAATTTCAATATCATTTGACAGGATATTGCAAATATATTCAGGGAGCAGCTACTTGCAGTTAAGTCTGTATTTGGTAAACATGTGGTTTACACAGACTTCAAAGGAAGGCCTTTGACAAGGCCCCACATGGAAGTCTGATCCAAAAAGTAAGAGCCTCCGAGATTCAAGGCAAGCTGGCAAACTGGATTCAAACTTAGCTTGTAAATAGGAAACAGAGAGTGATACTGGAGGCAAAAACAGAAATTGCTGGAAAAAGAGAGCAGGTCTGGGCAGCATCTGGGTTTCAGGTTCAGTGACCCTTCTTCAGAAGTGGTGATGGTAGAGGGTTGTTTTTGTCATTGGAAGTCTGTGACCAGAGTGTATCACAAGGATCAGGCTAGGAAGCTTACTCTTTGTTAATTATATGAACAACTTGGATGTTAATGTAGGTGTGAGAGGTGACACATTTTGCAAGGTCTAATAGGGAAGGATATATACAATGAATGGTCAGTCCCCAGAAAGTACTGAGGAACAAAGTGACCTTGATGTACAAGTTCATAGATCCCTGGAGGTGTGAGCACAGGTAGACAGGTGCTGAAGAAGGCATACGGGATGCTTGCCTTCATTATCTGGGGCATAGAATGTAGAAGCAAGGAAATCTTGTCACAAGTTTATAAAACATTGGTTAGGCCACAGATGGAATAGTGTATGCAGTTCCAGTTGTCATGCTATTGGAAGGATGTGATTGCACTGGAGAGGGTGCAGAGAAGATTCACCAGGATGTTGCCTAGGATGAAAAGTCTCAGTTATGAGGAGAGTCTGGGTAGGCTGGGTTTGTTTTCCTTGAAGCAAAGGAGGCTGAAGGGGCTCTGATTGAGGCATACAAAATGATGAAAGGAATAGACAGAGAAGTTGCGACAATCTCTTCGCCACGATAGGCGAGTCTGAGACCAGACGGCATAACTTTAAGCTGAGGAATTAGTGGTTTAGAAGAGATCTGAGCAAAAATAAATTTCACCCAGAGGTGGTTGAAATATGGAATGTGCTGCCTGAGAGGATGGTGGAGGCAGGTGCTCTTGCAACATTTAAGAAGCAAATGACTGAGCACTTACAGTGCCAGGGCACAGTCGGCTATTGTCAATGTGTAGGTAAACAGGATTATTGTGGTTTGGTGGTTGTTGGTTGCCATACACATGGTGGGCCAAAGGGCCTGTTTCTATGTTGTATTTTGTTGTATCACTTTCAGTTGATATTTAATTGTTACATTTTTTTGTTCAGTCTGTGGATGCTGAAGATATACAACAGTGGAAAAGGTCAGTACACTGAAGGGAAGCTAAGGTGACAGTCCAAGAAATTGAATTAACTGAGATGGAGTTATTAATCAGGTGATGAGCCAAGCATCAATTGTTTGAATTTATCTTTGGATACCTCAAAGGAGTGCTCAGGAACTATTTTACACTGTGGCTCTTAATCTTAATCGTTCACCCATTGTCTCTGATTCTCCTTTACTTCCATCAGAGTGGAATAAGGCTAGTTAGTTGCATGTGATTGTAATGAAGTCAGCCAGTTGGACCTCCTAGAATCTGAGTTCCCTGACTGGGGCTGTTAATTTGATCCAATCAGGGAGCCCTGGCTGATAGCTAAGAACAAGAGTGTCAGAGATACTAGTACTCTGAGAGCTGACACTGAAGAGGCAGTATTAGAGTCAAGCACTTTTCATGTGCAAATAAAGGGTGACTTAGTGACAGGATATCTGCCTCTGTGGAGTTACTTCAGGTGCCTCACCCACTCTTCTTCCCCCAACTCCTCCGTGAGAGCCTGTTCAGCCATTCAATTGGATCATGGCTGAAAAGGCAGTGGGTCCTGCTCGAGTATTGCTTAGATTCTACCAATCCAACTCTCCATCTCCCAAGTTAGCATTCACTTAGTGCCAACAAGATATTTCAGTGAAGGGACAGTGCAACCGCCTCTGATCCTTTCATGAAATCTCAAAGTGTGCAGCTTGGAGCATTTGACAAAGCATTTGATCACAGAAATGCCAAAGCTTGCAATGATTTGCTGTGTTGTCACTGCTGGCAACTCAAGGGAATGGAGAGCAGAAGAAGATGTAAAACAAAATTGGTCTTTGACCATTTACACAATCAGACATTTTAACAGACCTCCGTGATAGCACACTACAATGGTGAAGACAGATGAGATTTTGGTGCAATCACATTCATATCTTACATGATGCCTTGGTTTCATTGTTTTTGGTGGTACAACTGAGATCAAAGTGAGAACAGTCTTTATTTTTAAAAAATGCAATGTCCTGTTTGAGGAAACTGAAGTAAAAAGCAAACTTGGAGAAGCCGATTGAAAAACATCAACTAGTTCATCGTGAAAATCATCCAATTTCAGCTTACCAATTCACACTTGAAGTAACTGAAAAAATTTTCATCCAGTGTGAAGTATCTCCTCTTCCAGCTTTTTCTCTGTAACATTAATTATAAGTTAATTAGCTAAACTGGTGGTGTTGTGTGCTGGCACTTCAGAAAATAAAGGATAACTGGAAATACAGAACATGAAATTGAACAAAAAACTTGAGTCAGCTTACTTATTCTATCGTTCATGTACTGAATATTGCTTAGATGCAGGAGGGAGGTTATGAGCTTTGGCCATTATTTCATAGCACCGAGGCTCACATAAGCTAGCCTGTAGCAGCAGCATCACTCAGGACGGAAGCCATAGGGCCACAAGATATAGGAGCAGCATTACGGCATTAGATCATAGCTGACATGTTATTCAACTCACTCTCCTGACTCTTCCCCTCAAGAACATATCTATCTCTGTCTCAAAGACACTCAATGATTTGGCCTCCACAGCCTTTTGCGACAATAAGCTCCACCAATTCACCAGCCTCATCTCACTTCACTCATCCCTTCACTCTGAGGCTGTGCCCTGGGGTCCTAGTCTCTCTTCCTAGTCTAAACATCTCCAGATCCACTCTTTCCAGGCTTTTCAGTATATGTTAAGTTTCAATCAGATTTCCCCCCATCCTTCCAAACTCCATCGAGTACTGACCCAGAGTCCTCAACCACTCCTCATATGATTGGCCCTTCGTCCCTGGATCATTCTTGTAAACTTTCTCAGATCCCCTCCAAGGGCAGCACATTCTACCAGAGATACAGAGCCCAAAACGGCTCATAATATTCCATATTCTGATCAAAGCCTTATAAAACCTCAGCAGTACATCTCTGCTCTTGTATTCTAGCCCTCTCAAAATTAATGCTAACATTGCAGTTGCCTTCCTAACTGCCACTGAACCTGCATGTTAACCTTTACGGAATGCTGAACTGGGACTCTAAAGTCCCCTTGTGATTTCCAAAGCCTTTCCACATTTAGAAAATAGTCTATGTCTTTATTCTTTGCACCAAAGTGCATAACCTCACAGTTTCCTATATTATATACCATCTGCCACTTCTTTGCCCATTCTCCTAACCTGTCCAAGTTCTCACGCAGCCTCCCTGCTTCTTCAACACTACCTGCCCCTCCACCTATCTTTGCGTCATCTGCACACTCAGCAACAATGGCCTAAGTTCCTTCGTCCAGATTGTTAATGTATAACATGAATAGCTGTGGTGCCAACACTGACCCCTGCGGAACCCTAGTCACTGGCTACCAGCCTGAAAAAAACCCCTTTGTCCCCACTCTCTGCCTTCTGCCAGTCAGCCAATCCTCCATCCATGCTTGTACCTCATCCCTAACACCATGGGTTCTGATTTTATTCAGCAGCCTTTTGTGCAGCACCTTGTCAAAGGCCTGCTGGAAATCCAAATAAATCATGCCCATTGGCTCTCCTTTTTCTAACTTGTTCATTACCTCCTCAAAGAATTCTAAAAGATTTGTCAGGCATGACTTTTCCTTCGTGAAGCTGTGCTGGTTCAACCCTATTTAACACTGCAATCTCATCTTGAATAACGGACTCTCAAATCTTACCAATGACCGAAGTCAGGCTAATAGCCTATAATCTCCTGGCATCTGCCTCCCTCCCTCCTTAAACAAGGGTGTTACAATAGCCATTTTCCAGTCCTCTGGGATCCTCCCTGAATTCAATGATTCCTGAAAGATCACCAGCAATGTCTCCACAATCTCCTTGGCTATCTCCTTCTGAAGTCTGGGGTACAGGCCTTCCAGTCCAGGTGATTTGTCCACTTTCGGACTTTTCAGCTTCCCCAGCACCTTCTCCTCAGTGATGGTCACAACATTTACCTCTGCCACCAAACTTTCTTGAAGTTCTGGTATGCTAATTGTGTCTTCTACCATGAAGATTGATGCAAAGTACCTACTCAGTTCCTCTGCCATTTCTTTGTTCCCCTTACTATTTTCAGTAGTCCACTCTTGCCTCTTTCTTACCTTTTATATATCTAAAAAAATTTAGTAATCTTCTTTTATTTTACTAACTATCTTACCCTCATATTTTATCTTCTTCCCCCTTATCGCTTTTTTAATTTTTAGTTTTTTTGGTTGTCCTCTGCAGGATTTTAAAGGCTTCCTAATCCTGTAGCTTCCCACCACATTGTATGCTTTTTCTTTTGCTTTTGTGATATCCTTGACTTCCCATCAGGCAGTTTGTGCCTGCAGGCCCCAGAATACATGACTCCAACATTTAAAATACCAGGTCACTTTAGGCACTCTTTGTCAAATTATTTAAATTTGGGCTAATCTCAGCCAAATGCATGAGCTGACAGCAATCCAGATTGAATCCATATTATTTTAAGATTGCACCTTATTCTCAGAAACAACAATTAAAATTTCCCGATGAGAGCACTCACCACAATGCCCTGTTTCACACAGAACCCACTTTTCAAAACCTGAGGTCCTAATGTTTGCTTGTTTCCGGACACTGGAATGTGACTTAAGGAACGTTTCAAGCCACCATGTGTAGCCCATTCAGCAGCTTCTTGATTTTCGCCCCCATTCACCTTTAGACCAAAGCAAAGAAGACAGTGAACTCTTTGTCATAAACTACCCACAGAATGCACAATAATCACAGGAATTCATATTATTCTGGTTGAACGTTGGCTGGGATACAGGCTGAGCTCTCTACTCTCCCTTCAAGTGTCATCATTCGTCTCCCTGAATAAGCAGAGTTCATTTTGTTATCGAGACACAGGATTACACAGTATGAAGCTGCACAAAGGAATTACCCTTTCCATTGTGTTTCTCAGTTGACTGTGAAGCAGAAACGAGAGATTGAATAAATTAGGTCAATGTGCTCCAGAGACAGACAAATGAAAGGCAACCTCATTGCAACATTCAAGATTCTGAAAGGGCTTTGGAAGATAGATGCCAGGGATTATTTCCATTTGCCTCAGAATCTAAAACACATTGACACAATCTAACAGTGAAGGGGTGATTACGTAGGGCTGAGATGAGGAGAAAGTACTTTATTAATGGGCTTTGAATCTTTGAAATTCTCAATGCAAGAAGGTAATGGATACTGCATTGTTGAATATACTTAAGGCTCTGATAGATTTTTGGTCTCTGAAAGATTCAAGATATGTGGGAAATGGGCAGGATAGGGACATTCATTTATTAATTTTCTCATAGTATGTGGGCATTGTTGACTGGGCCAACATTTGTTGCTTATCCCTAGTTGCCCTGGAGAAGGTGGTGATGAACTGACAGTACTGTCACGAAGAGAGTTACGGAATTTGAACCAGCAACAATGACAGAACAGCAATGTAATTTGAAGTCAGGATGATATGTGATTTGGAAGGAATTTGTAGGTGGTGATGTTCCTTTGTATTTGCTACGCTTCTCCTTGTCAGAGATTACAGGCTTGGAAAGTGATGTGAAGGATCCTTGGTGAGTTACTGCAGTACATCTGGTGGATGGTACACACTGTTGCCACTCAATGTTCATTTTCAAGGGAGTGAATATTGAAGGTGGCGAATGGGTCATGAATCAAGCGTGCTGCTTTGTCTTGGATGATGTCAAGCTTCTTTCGTGTTGTTGGAGCCACATACATCCAGACAGTTAAAGTAGAAGATCAGTAGATCAGTTGACCCTATGATCTACTCCTGCCCCTATTTCCTGTGTAGATTGCTGCTGACAT